GACTTGGCTGCTGCATCAATCAGTTTGCTCTGGAGCCCTCCTTCCTCAGCTAAGGCAAAAATCTGTGAGCTGGACGCTATAAAACTGTGGGCTAGCTCACACTAACTCAGCTTAGAGGGAACACTGCCTGTGAGGTAGGTGGGGCCGAGAGAGCTCTGACAGAAACTGCTCTTTTTCAAGGACATCTCTTATCAGAACTAGGGCTTGCCCAAGGTCATCCAGCAGGTGCAAGTGGAGGAGTGGGGACTCAAACCCGGTTCTCCCAGATTAGAGTCCGCACACTGAACCACTACACCAAACTGGCTCTTAAGGGGATTAAGGGGGTATATCCCTCGACCACATTGATCCATGGACTTTGGGGTTCCAAATTACTTGTCTCTTCATTCAGAAGTGGAGCCAGTGCCTTAGGATCCCCTCCTTCTCTCATCCCCCCCACCCCCGCAACCGCATTGCCTGTGTAGAGTGCAGGGAACTACAGCGAAAGTGGCAGGCTCCTGTTTGGTTCCTTATTTCTTTCTTCCTGGCTGACTTCGTGCTTCCACAGTGACCCCCACCCACCGCCCTGCAGGGGGGATTTCTGCTGCAACACTTCTCAGACTTGGAAGTGGAAGCCCGCCCAGGGAGACAAGCCAAAGGAGGAGAGGTGGGCGAGCAGACAGGATGGAGATGGCTGCTCTGCTGCCGCCGGTGGCTTGTGTGCGCCCTGCGTTGGTGCAACCGGGCTGGACTGAGAAGGCGGGAGCTGAAGGAAAAACCCGGGAGGGGAAGCTGAGGGAGTGCTGTGTTTCTCTCTCCCTTGGCGGCCGCCTTCCTCGGCGATGAGGGCACAGGCGCATGCAAGCGAGCGAGGTCTGCAATCTTGCACTGGAGGGAGAAGGGGAGAAATCTCTGTAGTTGCAGGTTCAGTAACTTTTTCCCCACCATAGAGAACAATGGAGGGGATGGGGGCAACCTGTTTGGGGGCCCATAGCATTGGACCCCCTGGCCCAATGTTCTTCAAACTTGGTTGGTATCTTGGAGAGAGGCTCCAGCAGCTACCCTGCGAGTTTGGAGCCTCTCCCTCAAGCCCCTTCTCCTCCAGTCTTCAGAATATACCCTATGTTTTTGCCATTGACTTCAAAGGCCCATAGGATATAATGGGGCCGAATTGCTGCCAAAATTCGGCAGCAATTCGGCGGCAAGCCGATTCAGATCAGAGAATCTGAATTGGCCTGCAGCAGCCCAAAAATGGGCCATTTTCAGGGGTGCATTTGGTTCGGACGAACCGAATGCACATCCCTAGTTTGTACCATGAATCTAAGACAGGCTCTGTTATCGTATACATGCTAGTAACTGCTGTGCCAGAGGAATGCCACATACTACAGTGCTAATGTTCATATAGTACAATGGTATTATCAAGTTTCCGAGAGCACACCATATCAAGCACCTGTGCTGTGACCGCTGCATGACCTCCTCCTATCTCAATGGAACTGTTATGTCATTTAGCAACAATTAGAATCCTAGCCAATTTAAGTAATTTACTGCAAAGGGGGAGTCAACCACAAAATGGCTGCCACCAGAGGTGGAGTCAACCACAAAACGGCTGCCACCAGAGGTGGTGTCAACTGCAAAATGGCTGCCACCAAAGGGGAAGTCAACCACAAAATGGCTGCCACCGGAGGTGGCGTGAACCACAAAATGGCTGCCAGTGGAGGTGGAGTCAACCACAAAACGGCGGCCACCAGAGGTGGAGTCAACCACAAAATGGCTGTTAGAGGAGGTGGAGCCCCACATACACCCAGAATTTCAAATGCAGGCAAGGAGAAATGAAACTGTGCTAGGCAAGAGCTCCACGTGGCCTACAACTTTCTGAAAACACTTGGTGGGCACCAGGTAAGGCGTGGGCAGGCTCCATGGCAACCATGGGGCACCACGTTGGAGACCCCGGCCATAGGAGTACATTTTTTAAAATATATCTAAA